AAAAAAGCGTCACGGTGTTTGGGGCAAAAGATACTCAGGAGGCTAATTTGTTTATGTTCTCAAGGATTTGGCGAGAAGAGTTAAGAGAGAACCGCATACAAAAGAGAAACACATGAACGTTTCTCCTCATATAGAAATTGCAACTGCTTATGCTCGCGTGCGTTTTATTTTCTTTTATATCAATGAAGTACGCTTTTATGATGATTAAACCAAAAAAATGTACGTGCAGAACAAAGTGTAATCATGCAATTGTCAGAGCCTGAGTGCGTTGCAGCACTGCATTGCTTCGCCCCTCGGATTTCTGACCTTTCCCCTCTATGCATTCTTCAAAAGCTGTGGTAAACATCGGCGTCGATTAACCCCTCTGCGTTGGCTAAACGCTGGGGGAAGCAATGGGTTTCGCTATTGGTCCAAGCCGACATCACAGAGGAAAGAGGGAAGGCTTAGGAGCGGGCTAAAATTAGGTCCATCTTTAAGTGGCCAGCATTGATTCCCCCACTTCGGGTATGCTCTAAGACTATAGCCTCCTCAGAATAAAGTCCTCATTCACAACTAGGTCTAAGTGTTTTGCTCTGCACGTAGCTGAACGCAGCCAAGAAGATTGCGTTGAACTCTAGAGGGTAATATTTTGACTCTTAATGTACGCAAAGTGGTAGAATTGTTTGGCCTCACAGTGCTATCGTATGATGGTCTGTATTCCTCTGGAGTATCTCCACTTGCTCTATCAGACGGAGCATATCCAAATTGTCTACACTCCAGGCTAGGTGAACTCTCTTATGTTTTCTGTGCATCTTAGGAGTCTGTTAACACATTCGGGGCTGAAATAACATCATCATCGTACTTTGAGAAAACATTACATTGCGACGATATTGTACATCGTCAGCCCCTACAAGGAAAACTTTTCCTCCATTCTCCTGACTTTAAAAACTGTATAAGGAGACTTCTTTGACATTATCTTTTCTTCCTTCTGTCGCTTTAACTCCTTGTCATCTTCTTGGGTCTTGCTTTGACTATGAATTTCTCCTGCGGTCTGCATACACCTTCCCTTTTCCTTTCCTTTCACTGTCGCAATTTGGACTTCATCTTCAATGCTTAAACTAACCCACCTTTAAGAGTTAAAACTCTTAAAGGTTGGTTAGTTTGGTCCTGATGCGTCATCCACAAAATAATTCGGCAAGGCTAACCCAAGTTGTTGAATGCGGTGTACTGCGACCTATTAATTTGGAGATGTCGATCTCTGCTTTTCAGCTGCAACCCTCGGCTTCGGCAATACGTAGGTGCCTCATTTCGATACTGCAGTTTTGCCTTTCAATTTCTCTTTAGGCCTGTGGCTATTAAAGTGCGGTTTTCCTATGTTCTATTCCGTTCCCCTCTAAATACTTCTTGAAAGGCCACTTACAAATTGTTTCCCATTTTTGGTTCTAAGAGAAAAAAGAAAGCCATGTGTAATTTGAATATTCCACAGACTTCTTTTCAGAGGTGGTATGTTGTCGGAGCGGTGCAGATATTGTTGTCAGGAAAAAAATATTCAGTGATATTGATCAGTCCAATAATACTCCTCACTTTAGCAGCATTCTTCGGTTCACGAACATCATCAACAGTCTTAACTTTAACATCTGGTGTACCAATTCGACGGGCAGAGAGAGTACGACTTATGAACCCAAACTCTGACATCTTTAACTGACACTTGCCGCACTTCAGAGTCATCCCCAGGCTGCTCAATAATCCGATTACGTTCTCAAATCTTCTGTCATGTTCCTCCTCAACGAGAGCATGTACTATCACACCATCAAAAATGTTATGGGCGCCATCCTTTTTAGTAGGGCTTCTCAGTGGTGGAGTACCTTCTGCTATTCTCAGGCACACAATTTAGACTGAATCTGGGTCGTTTGTATACGCGGCATCCATTATGTGTGCCAAATGTGTTGCTCGAAGGTGAATATAGCCAAAAATATTCTGAGTTGAGTAGCCAATCAGAGTGCGGCCTCAACACTATCCACCTTTTTACTGCATACTAATCGCTGTTCATGGCAAGCCTCTTATTTTCGAAGAAATCTCGTTATCACTAGAAACACTAGAACCGCCTAAAACGCCAAACGCATCATCATAATCATCATTCAACTTAGCTTCAACGTACACCTACCTTACATGGTGAGCTGAACTACTCTTTCCTACAGAGTTTTATCCACGCGGTCCTCCAGCGCCGCGACCACTCTTTTAATTATTCTTAGTCTCCTTAGGTTTACACACGACCTCAAGCTGTCCAGTACCATTACACTTTCTGCATTGACTTTATGCCGCACATTTCTTGCTCTAGCATCCCTATGGAATCCGTCTCCCTACTCATTATTATTTACCTCACCACAGACTTCGCCACTTTGTGAATGCGCCTTTTCCTCAGATTCCTCCACACAAAACGTAATGTCTCGCCAATGTTCTTTGGCGGAGTTCATACGACAAACACTTTTGTTCACGAATTTGCTCATCCACAGCGGCAGTGTCTCCAAATTCAATGGTTTGGTCTTAACCTGATCATAAACTGTTCGACGGTTTCGATTCGTTAGCCAGACAGTTGACTTTTGGCTTGTATCACGAAAAGAATGCTTTTCATAAGATCATTCGCTTCAGAAGTGGCTTATTCTCCAACGTCTTTCAACGTGAAATAAGGATCTTGAGCGTTCAATCTGACGGTCTGCGCCGACAAAGCTCGGTTCTGGTCGGCAATTTGATCCTTTTCCTATCGCGAGCAGTTTAATAGTTTGCCGCCATCCTTCCCAGCGGGCTGAAATACCATCTGTTTCTGAATAATCGAGGAGAATTGCCGAAATATGTACGTAATATCTCCAATAAAACGTCGCGAACGACCGTCTACTTCGCCGAAATGTAGAGTACGTAATTGCATAACAAAAATCATCGCAAGCTATTGCATAACACAAGTCATCCATCAAAGCGCATGCTGCGTTAGATAAGACACAAATCTGGGGAGGGGGGGGAAGGGAGGGTAGGACTTAAACGGTCACAAGTACAACAAAGAGTGCCAGTCAAGGTGAACTACGATTGCAAGTTTGAGAAAGAACATGGCTTTCTGGTGTCTACCATTGGACTACTTTGCGAGATACATCTAGAAGTGATCTGCTGCAGGGTGGGGAGGGTTGGACTTACACGGTGACAAATTCAACAAGAAGTACCTCTCAAAGCGAGGTACAATGGCAAGTTTTGGAAACGATGGGGCTTTCGGCAGTCCAGTCCAGGACGACGTTGCAAGATATATCTGAAAGTGATCTGGTGTGTGCTAAAGGGCTACAAAATTTTTGAAGTACATTCCCACCCAACAGTTTATCGAGTGTGAACACAATTCCCATCGGCATATGAGATCAGGTTACAGGTTTATTAAGTTGATGTAGTTTACAAGCATCCGTTTCATTTCGTTTGCAAAGTAATATATATATATATAGTTGTTACGTGGCTTGAAAGAGATCATTTACAGCTTATGAAAAGAATGTGTGTTGATGGAAATGGACTTAACCGCTTGTTCTATTACTGCTTTTTGGTATATCAATTATGTAGTGGCTATTGTAATAATACTCTAAGAAAGCGTCCTCTCTGAAATATTGCTACTGTAGTAAATACGAAAATACGAAAAACAAAACTTCCAGTCGACAGATTCTTGTAGAGGGAGACTCTGTTTCGTTGACTATTTTAACTTAAATTTTTATTTCTTCGCGTCTCCTCGCGTCTCCTCGCTTGCACGTGCAACCCGCATGTTTGAGGTTCGTTATGATTTTGCACACCCCCTCGTCCAGGGTAACTAACTTACGCACATATTGTTGCATGAAACTCCAGGGAATTAGTGCAATTTTTCCCTAAATCCTCTTTTTTCAAAGTTATATATGTTTATGTTTGAGAATGTGAAGTAACGTTTAGGTAAAATTACTTATCACAGACCGCGAAATAAAGCTCTCTCGCGTCTCTACTTAGCTCATCAAATATCATCTGTGCTCAAACCTGCCTCAGAAAGACTGCTTCCCTCTCAGTGAAGGAGCATAAGTTTATCTCGTTGATGATGTTTTCCTCCTCCAGTCCTTCTGGCCTGTAACACAATTTTTGTTACCAAAGCTAAAAGAAGCGAATATAGATGAACTTCCTGTCACACTCATTCTGATATCGCACGTATTAATTTCCTGTCGCAGTTATTTGTCATAAATACACGACGTTCTGGCATAGCAACAACGGAAATTCTATATAACATCTGTTCCGGTTGAAACAATGGACGAAAATATTTTTTCTCTCTTTTTTCATCTCAGGCTTTAAATTTAACAAAAAAATTATCAATTAAAGGTTTCTTATCGTACACATCGAAATTGGGGCTTTCAGTCTCAAACCTTTAGTGTGAAACGTCATTCGTGATGTGCCGGCAGGTAAGACGTGACTTGCGCTCCATTACTAATTGTTATTCGCGACCGCCAAGATGTTTTGACTGCCCGTAAACAAAGGATTAGTCTGAAAGGTGACGGGTGATTTAATGCAGGTGAATAAACAGCCGGCTATCAGTGTGTCTCAGATAATTTATTTCTCCATGTTTGGTGGTGTTTCGATTTTGAATGGTATACGAATGTAAGGATTCGAATATCACAAGAGGTAGAGACCGAAATCTTTGCAACTGTCAGCTCTAGGCGAAAATCTTACGCGTGAAAATAGTACATGCTCGTCTCGCGTTCTCGCCGCTGAAGGCGGTCACGAAATACGAAAATTTACATCTTTCAAACTTTGTCCGTTGCTGAAGTGCATTCGAAAACAAAATTATGCCAAACATGGGCACAATCAAATTTTGCGAAGTAAGTATATATAAATAACCCGCCATCTGAGTTCATTCATAACTGAACTGCTCCCGCAGTCCACAGCTATTTCTTCTCGCCTAACTTCCAAGTCTCATCATGGCCAGTATAAAGAAGCAGCCCGACCAAAAGCAGGAGTCAAACGAACCAAGGTTAGTGCAGATTTGTGTGTTGATTATTTCTGATACAATGTTTAGAAAAGTTAACCTTACTCAAAGTGGCAAATATTTTTGTCACAGTTTCTGCTTTAGACGGGTAGTAACATTTAAAATAGAAAAACATCAAAACACAAGAACAATATTAGAAAATATGCTTTCTCAATTCGAGTTATCCCGCTATAATACTCTAAAACCCTTAAAACTAAGCATATTCTGCGGACGTTTGAAGCTGTCGTGAGCCCTAAGAGCAAATATACTTCGTCAATTCAGAAACTTTGTCAGAAACTCTAAGCACGTCTGACCATTCTAAAGGAAATTCAATAGCGAACGGGGAAAAAAAAAGCGACTCCTGCTATGTGCGTTCTCTAACTCGTCAGAGCTCTTTGGCGAGAAAGGATAAGAAAGGAGGAAAGCGTCCGAATTAATCTGCATTGTGAGGTATTAGTGGAATTCCGAGTAGTTCGGGGTACGAAACCACAACGGTGAGCTTAGGATATTTTTGGCTGAGACCGAAGCTCTCTGAAAGCCTGTATTTGTACGATCTATTGACCATCCTTTTAAAATGCTTTCAAATTTGTACTTGTCAGATTGCAGGATACTGAAATATGATAGATGCATTTTTTTTTCTTTTGAGGAGCAAATTTTTAATTATTTTTGACATAAAATCGGAAAACGTTGAGGTGAAGAAATTTTGTTTCCGTTTAATCATTCGGTTTTGAATTACCTTTACCTCTCGGAGAAGCGCTTACCTTTAAGTGTTTCAGGTGTTAGAAAACGAGTACGCAGAAAAACCTCCTCAGTTCATGCAATTTGTCATGATAGTAATAAGACAAATATTTAAGACGTTATTTAAGGCGTCATTTTTCACTAGTAAGCAGAGCGCCCGATTGAAAGCAAACAAGACTGGGTCTTCAGAATGAAATAAAAAATTATACATTTGTCATGAAGATGGTAATGAACGTGATGATAAGAATGATGACGATAATAACACCACCTCCATCATTATAATGATTAGTATCATCATCATCATTCTTATTACTACTCACGTTATTATGGGTGTTTCTATTTTAATACCATTATTATTCGTTTTATTTATATTATTTGAATCATTTCTTTGTCTTATTGTTACGATCGCTTTTACAGTTGCTGCTGTCCACGCCGACTCAATCCATGTTTATTGTGGTCATCAATATGCAGCTGGTATTTGCGTCTTCTAAGACATTTCTTTGGCTGGTTTGGGGAAAAGATTGCTACGCATCCGCTGATAACAATTCAGATATGTCTTCTGTTTGTCAGTGTTTGTTCTGTGGGGTTTGTCTGGTTCCGGTCAGAAACAAGAACTGACAAACTTTTCGTACCTCAAAGCAGCAAGGCTGTTAAGGACTTGGAGACTGCCGAAAAATACTTCCGAATCAAGTTTCGAGAAGAAATCGTCCTTTTGGTGGCAGCGCCTGGTCATCCCAATGTTCTCTCTCCTGAGTGTCTGAGGCAGGCTTTCCGTGCCCACAAGGCAGTTATGACCTTAGAATCTTATACCGACTTCTGTGTTACACTGTCGGGGAACAAATCCAGATCATCAGAAGACTGTGTGATGATCAACCCGCTGGAATTTCTGCAGTTTAATGAGAGTTACCTGATCAATAAAGACATTAGCCAAATTCAACATGAACTAAGCAAAGCCTTAAAGAACACAAGCTTCATCATGCGAAACGGACGCCCCTTCTGGCTCAACTTGAACCGAATATTTGGCAAAATCACCCGAAAGCAAGAGAACATAACTGGTGCGAAAGCATTGCAAATAGTTTATCATATTCGCGATCCGTCCGATGAAGACGCCCGCGAAAGGGTCCTCAACTGGGAGAAGAAGTTTATCGATAAGATGGCTTCTGTGGTGGACAAACTTCCCTGCTTTGAAGTCCACTACTCGAGTGAGAGGAGCCTGGATGACGCTGTCGCTGAGAGCAGTGGGTCTGACGTCAAACTGGTGTCAATCACTTACACTCTCATGATCTCCTTTGCTTGCATCATGCTGGGAAAGTTTAAAAATCCGCTGACCGGCCATTCCCTGCTCGCTAACGCAGGAGTGTTCGCAGTGGCTCTGGGGATTCTAGCTGGACTCGGCCTCGGTATGTGGTTCCGAGTGCCATTTGTCAGTATCGTGGGAGTGCTTCCGTTCCTTGTCCTTGGAATCGGCCTCGATGGCATATTCATCTTAGTGGATGAACTTGACCGACAGCCGTGTGACCTTTCGACAACGGAAAAGATCAAAGCAGTCATGAGGCATACAGGTGCGACTGTTACTATGACAACTATGACGGATTTAGTGGCATTTGCAGTCAGCACATCCACCTCATTCCCAGCCATTAGGTAAGGAAGTTGAATTGATTGCCGACTAAGTCTACTCTTTCAGGTAGCAATTATGAAGAAATTTTACTGATTCCTTGTGGTTCTGTTTGAATAATTAATCTAGGGAAAATATTTATAATGCAACGCGGTAAAATAATTTTGTGAGGGTGTTCACAAATCTCGGTACACTTTGAATAAAAGACATCGCGTCACGAAGGATAAAAAGGATTGCCATTTCAGGCCTTTTTTACAATTTCCGTTGCTTGGCCGAAGTGTCTTTCAGTCTTTTCAATTTGACTGGCTACTTTAAAGAAGCCTTGAAATCTGATTGGTTGTTGCGTTTTATGAAGCTTTCTCACTGGCTCAGAAAAAGTTGTGATTAAGGAAAACACTGGTGCGATCACCAGTGACGCGATAAAGAGTTAAGTGTTTCGAATTCAAACTACGTGTGCATCGATGTTGATTGTACTATGCAGGCCAACATGCTCTTTTTGCTATTTACTACACAAGGCAAGCATGGGTTTCAATTTTGCAAAACACTTACGTAGATAGAGTAACATAGTGATTACTGATCGATGCTTAACTCATCCTATTGTAGGTATTTCTGCATCTACGCAGCCCTGACAGTAACGTCATCATTCCTAATGGTTGTCACCTTCTTTGTGGCCGTCATGACCTATGACATAAGAAGAATTAAATCCGGTCGCAGAGATTGCCTCCCATGCTGCCTGGCGCCGCGACCCAAAGATGGAAAGCCAGCCTGGGACGAGCCCATCACACAGACGTCAAATCGAGTCATGAAGACTTGGGGAAAATTCTTGACGTTTCCAGCAACAAAATGCTCGGTGATATTCATCTCGCTGCTGCTGCTTGGAGCTGGAATTTACGGAGTCACTCAAGTGGACGAGGCGTTTAACAGAAGAATCCTAGCAAAAGATGATTCTTACTTGAAACAGTTTTTGACCGCTCAAGAAAATCAGTTTGACCTTTCTATTCCAGTGAGCATCGTGGAGACTGGCGCGTTAGATTATGAGAAATATACAACCCAGCAACAGATCAGAGCATTGACAAACATCGTGACGGAAAACAAATACTACAGAGACCGCTCGTTATCCTGGATGGACACGTTCTCTCGTTACGCTGAGCAAACTAATAAGAGCATCACTGGTCCTTACTTTTTGCCTGCCTTGAGAGAATTCCTTCGTATTCCAGCCTTTTCCCATTTCAGTCAAGATTTGAAGTTTACCACGGATGGCACCAGACTGGAAGCCTCTCGCATCTTTGGATTTATGAAGAGTACCAGCACCTCCACCATCCAGAAAAACGCCATGCTCACACTTCGTGAAGATATCACAGAAAAGTCGGAACTTGGTGCCTTTCCAATCAATCGACTCTTCATATATTTCGAGCAGTACGCCATTACTTCCAGGGAAACCGTAAGAAACCTCATTATCGCAGCCATAGCGGTACTGCTTGTTACAAGCCCCTTTTTAGTGGACTGCACAGTTACGTTCATTGTAGTGCTGAACTTTGCGGCCCTGATATGCGAGTTATTTGGACTGATGGTCATCTGGAATGTTTCCCTTAATTCTGTTTCTATGGTTAACCTCGTTATGGCCATTGGATTTGCAGTCGATTACAGCGCACATATCGCGCATGCGTACATAACGTCAAACGAAGCAACAGTCAATGGACGAGTGGTAGATGCCTTGAGTACATTAGGAGCAAGTGTATTCATGGGAGGTTAGTCACGTGTACATTTAAGTTTATTTTTCGTCTTTAATTCGCACGCTTTAGACTCACTTCTGCAGTTTTTTCTCATAAATATTTCGGTAGCAAGTCGAACGCAATGAAGGAAAACTACAGATTCTCCTTCATTTGGACATAAACTTGTCGTGACTGTATTTTCTTTCTGTGTGGTTCAACACAACGATTTATTCAATTACACTCTGAATTTTCTTTAGAATCGAGTTACTTCCACACTGTAAAAACAAGGTGACCATTTTGCCAGCGCTCTAGCATTGTTTAATTTGGTTTCCTTCTTCTATTTACTTGTTTCTTAGGATTCAGTACCTTCCTTGGCATGGTCGTTCTTGCATTTGCCGCATCACAGATCTTCCGTATATTCTTTAAAATGTTCTTCGGCATCGTCGTGCTCGGTCTCCTCCACGGCTTGTGTATTCTACCTGTTCATCTGTCCTTGCTTTGCTGGAGACCAGCTGTTGGGATCAGACCCTCCTCACATGAGGACACTTCCAAGAAACAAGGCAATGAATACAGCCGAGTTGATACACTCAACGCCCCTGAATCTTTGAAGGATGAATGTGACAGGGAAACAAACGTCTAAAAGAGGTGCCTTGCAGGTTTTATGCTGTTTGGGCAGAGGTGCCTTGCATTTTACTAGCAGTCCAGTAAAATTGCTGTTTTAGCTAACTAAGCCAACTAAATGACTTTTAACCTCGAAAAGACAAGATTTTAATCGAAACAACAACGTGAATTATCGCCAATAAGCTACTCACACGTCACTCGTGACTACGCTTCGTTAGTGCTAAGCAACTGCAAAGCTTGTCTGATTGTCATAAAACCTTATCCAGCATAAACGCCTATCAAAAAATAATATTTCTCAAGTGGAACCAACAAGCAACCAACGTGGGAAGAAGCGTGTGGAAATTAAGCGATTGATTTCAGGTTTTTGTCGGAAATAGGATTTATGGACTGACCAATTTAGTTGTGCACCAATCCCTTGAAAATCGTTAGTCCACAAGTCCCAGTACTAAATGTGTAATACTAATGCTGGACTATTGTAAAATACATTTTCACGGAACACATCCTGAGAAATGCGAAGGTGATGATTTATGGAAAAAGAGAAGGTTTCAAAATTTGAAAGGTATTCAAAAGTTTAGGGAAGGAATTTTAAATCATATTATTCTTGATGAATACTCAAAATATCTTTTATTTGTCTGAAGAAATTAGCCCATTTAAAAAGTAAAGCAAATTTCGACTGAATATTTCAACTTTTTTTTGAAAATTTTGAGTAGTACACAAATAGTTGGGATCAGTCCTGTCATAAATTTAGTGTTTTCTTCCACATTGTTAAAATTAATGTAGGGCATCTGTTCATTAATCAAAGAGAGTTTTCTTACGTATTGGTGTGTAATTTGTATTGTGGTGGAAGCCCAAGAAAGTTAAAAGAAAAAACCGCACTGAGTACATCTCTTATCTCATGTGACTAAGTGCTATGAGAAATATTTCATATGTGATAAATATTTTTATCATATCAACTACGGTGTTATACAAGGATTTCCAGCCCTGAGAAAAACCGTAATCACACTTAAAAAAATATCCAATCTTTTTCACGTGCGTTTGATATCGCCAATAAGCTGCTCACACGTCACTCGCCTTTCGCGCTGCTCGGTCAGGTTGATGAATGAACAGCGAAGCCTTCACCATTCTCAATCCAAGGTCGTTTGTCGGAATTTTTCAGGATTAGAGCTACTGAAACACTGAAAAATCTGTGTTGCTTACAGACAGTGACGTTCAGACTTTCGTAGAAGGAGAAGAAAACCAAAATACGGAAAGAAAAACCAAAAGTTACGTATTCAGTGGCTTTGGTAATGGCATTTCTCGCGGCTGGGAACGAAAATCGACGACTGGAAGATTTGCCACAGGCCGATTTTGGTGGTGTGCCTGAATGATTTCCTATCTGAGTAAGGACCAAGTCAATAACTGAGAATTTTGTATTTTGAAAATTATGTCTCTTGTTTATTTTTATGTTGTTTCAACGCATTTTTTCATTTTGAGCCTTAGCACCAACGCACTTTACAATTTTTATTCGGGGATTGTCAATTTTTTTATTTTCATTCATTAATTAAGTTGACTTTTTTCATCTCACTCGTTAGTTGCGCTCACTCGTGACCTGGCGAGTTAAAAACTCGAAGAGAAATTCCATATCTACGCGCGCTCACGTATCATTCTTCAATATATGAAACATGCCGATGGCACGCGCGCAATTTTCTGTTAAACTGCCAACGCTAGAATCGATTTTCATCACACTAGGGTTGTGGGTAACACTAGAATATACACAAAGACGAAATCGACGCATTCTATCACCACTTCAAAAAGAGGTGTGTATATACAAGCAGTCAAATCTGTATATAAAAATTTACCACGGGAATTGGCTTCGGGACCTTTATTTACAGGTTTCCCGTGAACTCTTATAAAATTCAAACGTTTTGATGTGAGAATAACCACTCAATTTATTTTTTTTTACAATAACAATTACGAGCAACGTAAGAAATACGGGGCAGAAGCCACAAAATATTTCATTTCACTGTAAACTCAATTAACCGCTAAATTTTTAGGAAAAGCGTTTCTTCAACCCTTTGCTTAACAGTAAAGACAAATAAAGATAAGTTATATTTTTCTGAGATTTCAGAGCGCGAAGCTTGATCCTATACAGGATGTCCCTCAATTTTTTCAATGTAAATTACAGTTGTACTATTTCAGAAAATACGGGTGCTACTGCAGTATGGAGACAAAAAAAAAAGCTTGAAAGAGATTTTGAGCCTCTCCTGCAATTCTATTACTGTACTTCCCAAGCACGTTCTGGACATAGGCGATGCCATATAGTATTTGTAGTTGTGTTCATTGATACCCCTGCCCCGATAGCTACAATGTTGACAACAATTCGCTTATGGTAATCCAGTTCAGTGACCGTTATATACAGGTGCATAATAATGGACTTGTGGATTCAGAAAATGTAAAGGTGACCGTGTCTGCAACATTAAAGTGACCGTGATATACACGTCAACCCTATAGTAAATAAAATGGAAAATTATCAGGTGGTTTTCTTGTAAATGCCTTATATTTGGCCGTTGTATACAGGTGTGACTTAATATCTGTATCTAGAAACTTGAGAAGGCTAACTGAATTAAGGAACATATTCCCCCAAAAATCAACCGTTAAAGATTTGCAGTCCAAACCTCAGCATATGAATTCCTTTATAAGTTGAAAAGCACCTTCATCGCTTTAGAACGGGTGGTTTGAGGGTTTTTATCCATACCTGCGCGTAAATTTCGCTCAGCCAACCCTTCTGTCGTCTGGCTTAAAAAGAGATAGTTGCTACACAAGCTTGTTAATGGAGTGATTCTGTTTACTTAAAATTGCCTCAGTCAGAAGTGCCGCCTGATATCGCAAAGAATAGGGAGTGGCACTTGGACATGCGTAATAATAAGATATCAAATCTAACTTGAAAACCGATTTGTTCCTTTTCTATTCAGCATGGTTCTTAAGTGAAGGCAGGAAATAAAAAGTAAACACTATCATTAAATTATAAACGTCGGTTGACCTTGATACTTCAAATAAGCTAATTAATTCTTGTTTTTTTTTTACACGACTGCTGAATACCATGACTATGGTTCTAAACAGTCACTAGCTTCACAGCGAACACAGCCTCTAAAATGTCGTAAAACGCTTTCAAATCGGATAATTCGACAAAATTCTATGGAATAAGTCCTTGGTTTCCTACGTTCGTAACCTCCAACTCTTCGCTTTCGCCAAGTTTACTTCAAGGCACTGGAGAAAATCCTTCCTGGCTGCACCACGTAAGGTTCTGAAATTAAAGTTGATTTCATTTTAAGAAAAATTTCGTTCGATTATGAGTTTAAGAATAGAAAAAAAAAAAACAACGATTCTTTCCCGGTCATAAACATGTTTGTCTTACAGGAGCTAAGTGTGACGGTGAATGTCAAATGTCTCCCCCAAAAAGAAAAGAAAATAAACGTGAAAGGAATCAGACCTAATCTTTTATTCCAAAGGATAAGGTAACAGACGAGATTCGTTTAGGCTGAGGGAATCTAACTTCCACTTGGGCTGTATTTTACCGATTAGTTCATTGAGGCAAAATACGAGATGAAGGTGACAAGTCCAGATTCCGAGCGTTACTTCGAAGGGATAAGACCTGAATGGGCTGGGATTCAGTTTTCATTGCTTGATCCTCTCTTTACAAGGAAGCATGTGTTGTATCTTTTGAAATTTGTCCCAAGCGGAATATTTAGTTTTAGACAAAAATATTGACAACGTAACCTAAAGTAAAGAGTATCGTTACCCTTTCAGATCCATGATCTTTTTTAGTTTCCTCGTTTTGAATCGCTTCTCTTTCGCCAGGTTTTGATCTCAACTCAAGTTTGTGGAAATCTTCTCGGAAAAATAGGTCTCTGTAACGCGGCATTTTGTTGCCTAATACAACAGAAAGAAGTTGAGAATGGGATTTAAACAGGATACTTTTATCCGTCTTATCATATTCTTTATCGAGGCAGATCTCTGGCAATTTTAATTCGTTGATTGGAAAGAAAGAAACCCTGAGAAACTATAGGCAAAATATCTAATTCATAGATTAGTTTTGTAAAACCTTCTTTTACGGTACTTTTTGATCGTAAGTTGTTAAACCAAAACCATAAACTGTGGTTGAAATGGCCAACCATGAAAAAATGAAAAAAAATTAGAGGCGTGGGAAAAGCTAGTGAAAAAGTCAATTTCGTTGCCAAAGTGGATTTTTAGAGGAGCAGTGAAACAAACGAAATTCCTGCATGAATTTGGACACTGATCATATTTTAAAGAAAAAAATAAATCATGCTCCTTTAATTAAAGGTCCAGGCGTTTCTTTTTAGATTACCTCTCTTTGAGTGAAGGAACACGCCTACATGTACACCGCCGGAAAGTTTCTCCACAGCACGTCTTTGGGTAAACATTCTTGGAAGTGTGGGCAATTCTGGTAGCAACATGCAGCAGTTGATGGCCGGGGCAGTTGCTAAGATACCGCCTGTTACTTGCGCTCGAGGTAACTCACTAAGGGAGTAATGATCACCAGGACAAACGAGTACTGTGCTACCTTTATCTACTAACTGACTCCAGACTTCCTCGATGCCATATGTTGTGGGATTACGTGGCAAAAATCTATTATTCTGGCATTTAAGAAATGAGAGAGGACGTCGAACCTATTGAAGATAAAGCATGCAAAAATGCTGTCTAAGTTATTTTCCTTTTGTAAGCATGTCTCCAATTTATGGCTTGGTACTCTTCTCCTTGTGCTAATGGCATTTGCACAGCTTGCCCCTGAATAACTTACTGTGGGGATATTCCTTATTCAGTAAGAGTACCTCTTACCTCAGCAGGCTGCCATTCTTGGTACTCCTTATTGAAAATAGTTTGATTCTTCAGGAGAGCTTCTCTTAGAGTCTTTAAAATGTAGGAAGTAAGACCATTAGTATAGCTTATTATGTAATTTATCGATGATCCAGTCTTGATAGTGTATCTCTCTCATTTGTCTACTACTGCAAGTTTTTTCAAATAGCCTTTAAATTGGAGCTAAATAGAGATCAACAACATCTGTTAATGTCCAACAAAGCCACTTAATAGCTTTAGGCCGATTGAAATTTATGGTTATCAAGTCGGTCCACTTATGGGGAGACATTTGACATTCACCGTCACACTTAGCTCCACTCGAAACCCACGTGATAAAAATCATGATTACATAATAATCACTCTAAACATTAAGTCACCAAATGAGGCGAAAGTAATGAGATGTGTCTACAAAGCCCAAGGCCACCAATTTCCAGAGTTACTCACTTTTATGTAGGAGATAGTTCTTTGAAGGTGTCTGTGAACGAGAGGTTTACTTATTTCAAAGACAATAGCTCAACATAATATGATTTAAAGTAATTTTGAGCTATTGTACGTACCTGAACGTGTCGCGATGTCAGTCGTCCGTCTTTCGTAATGGAAAATAACCTAATGGTTATGTTCTGTGAACGCGATGACCAGGGAAGTGTGTCAATCACGGGATACTCCACACTCTGGAACCTTCCATATGAATATTCTCCGAGAAAATATGATCCATGGCGCTGTTCTTTGACGATCAGCTGAACGTACGGAGCAGCAGGGTTACGCACTTCACCCCAATTCTCACTGCTGCCTGTCGTTAAAAGGCGGGGACTTAAGGATCCAACCTAAATTACAAAAAACACTAAGACAAGGTAAACTCGTTTTATCTTCTACAGCATGACTCGAATTCATGAGTCTTCTGTAGTTACCTGTGTTTTTGGAAGAGTGGGAGGACTTGAAAGCTTCACATTACCCAGATCCAGGCTAAGGATATGAACAAATTTGTCATTTACCATTGCAAAGGCCATCTCCCGGTAAGCAACCCCAGACATAACGGCACCTCCCTCGATTAGGTCGTGGTTCTTCAGAGATGTAATGTTTAATAGATCATTCTCAGTCTCCCAGCAGTGTAGTCTTAAACATAAGTCGGTCGTTTTGACTTTTGATAGATAAGGATGAGTTGGCCTCTTAATGGTTTCTCTGGAACTAATTGGTTGCTCTTTTGGTTGTGGTGGATGTTCCCTGTAACAAGAGCTGCTTTCCAGCCGTGGAGATGTTTCGGACCGGATGAACCTCGCTGATCGGTTCCCCTCCACCGAGTTCCAGTGTATAGGAAATCCCACTGTAAACAATTTACATACCGTGTTCTGAAGGAAATATTTGTGTTGGTCCTCGATTGGCACTGTCTTATGAGGAAGAGTTGTAAAAACAACGGGCCTTTCCCGTTCCGTTAGATTTTCCTGAAGAGCTATCCGGTTCACGTGGCGGAAAAGAAATGGCTGCATGCTTATCTCAATTATCTGCCTGTAACCATCCCGTAGTAGGTGTTTCATTGCTGAATAGAAGCGAACAGGACAGCGAATATTTCGCCACCAGTAATCGTTGTTTAACTGCTGACCTGAGACAATTTCGCCTTCAACGCAAGAATACATCGGAATCTTTGATAACTGAGGCTTTAGTTGAACCCTTTTCAAAGCTTCCTGAAAAGGGATTTTGATGGGTTCCATCTGTGAACTGTGAAATGCACGATTTGTTCCATAAACGCGCCAGTAAACATCTCTTGCGTTCACTGATAGATGTTCCCCCAGAGCTTCGATGAATTTCAAATCACCCGCTACAGTAACACCGTCTGCATCATTAACTGCTGCTATGTCAAGGGTGGCGTTTAACCTTAGATTTAAAAGTAAATCCCTGGCTTTTGCCTCACACAAGCCCAGGGCAGCCATTCCTCCATTCTTTGGGCAGCTATCATGAAGAGTGGAGCGAATTACCACCAGCTGAAGTGCCTCCTTGACAGTTATGATTCCAGAAACACAGGCAGCTGCCAACTCTCCAAAACTTTGACCTATAACAGCAGACGGAAGAATTTTCCAGGACTTAAGAAGCTGTGCGGTTGCGTACTGGACAGCAAAGGTGGCCGTCTGAGCAATGTAGCACTCTGTCATTTGTGAGACGTCTTTTGGCGCCATCAGTTCGTCTTCAAGTGACCACGTTTCTCCCATATCTTTTAGTAATCTTCCCACTGTTAAAATAGCTTCTTTGAAAACAGTTTCATATTCCATTAACTGCCTTCCCATGGCATACCACTCTAATCCCTGACCCCCGAACATGAAAACAACTTTTCTATCACTTGAGGTCACTTTGGCGTAAGCGACGAATGTTTGCCAACCAGCGAAGTCATCAGCAAAAGCTTCTAGTGAGTGGGATGCTTCGAAAGCGGTTCCAAAGGTAAGTGCTAAGCGATGTGGATAAAGGCTTCGGTGTTCATTGAAAGAGTAACATAAGTTTTCCACAAAATGTTCATCCATTTCTTCAGCGTTGTCTTTAATCCACTCACAGTAGAGATATGACAGCTTCTTTAGAGCTTTTAAAGAACGTGCTGTAATTGTGATAACATTATTCTTGCGTTTGAAGCTTTCAACTTCGAAGCTTGGCGTTAATGTAGCTTCACTAAGAAAAACTTGCACATTTGACCCACCACGGCCGAATGAGTTTCCTGCTGCCATTCGCTGTAAGCCTTTTACCATGTTCTAAGGCTGACGAATTTGTTTCAAAGTAAGCCCTTTTTCTGCTAACACCTTAACGTTGATAGTTGGTACAAGCGTCTTATTTCGTATCGTCCGCAGGATGGCCCTATAAGCTAGCGCAGCAAGATCAGAGGCAGATTCTATGTGATTGAGATTAGATTTCACAGAGCCAATTCTCAATTTTCTCGTACACTTTGTGGCCTGGTTGAAGGTTGGCCTGGTCCTCTACAGAGTTGATTTCCACTACATCACCACTGAATTATGGTACCTGTCCATGTACTTCGAAGTAATCCACGTCTTCTGTAGCCCCTCTTGGCTGTTCTAGTACGCCTCTTGATAGATAGAAAGATAGATAGAAAGATAGATAGATGACCTTAATTCGGCTAACACGATAAAAGTTACAGCTACAAAGCATGGGGGTTGTATTAAGAATAACAAAATTCGAAATATTGAGTTATGATGACACTAAAATACCAATATAAATGAAATGCCAAGATGCTAATTACTAAAGCCGCTGGTTATTATAAACTATTATTATTTTTTTTAGAGGGCACGGTAACGAACCCTGCAATCTGATTAGTTCTTTACCCGGTCAGTATTTTCCTATCTCTGCCCACGGGCCACGGTAACGTTTTCGTGAGTCGCCAAGTACATTCCAACTTTCGTTGCCATTTTTCATAAATATATCTCGTTTTTCCGGCTGGGTAGTATTTTCAGGCAAACACGTCGATCACTACCTCAAGCCGATAAATAACTTATGAATCCTCTCTTTTTGTCTCTCTCAAACCACTTTGGTTGACAGAAAAATATTGGTTTCAGAATGAAATTGTATGAGCAATAGTGTCATTACGTTGTATGTGTAACAGGAACAGCTCTTTTCGATTTACACCAACCGTTCTTATCCAAGAAGTCACAGTGAGACAGAGAAAAACTTAGATATTCGAATGGAGTTATGTTATGGGCTAAATTGAAAACCATGGCGGATCAGAGCAGACCACGTTCGACCGCCACGACAGTCTCACACCACAGCGAGCGCGCATCTCTGTAATGACGTACCATTTCTATGCAAGGGTAACCACTCAAAGAAATGAACGGCGCACCCCGCCCCCAGGGTCATTCTAAAATTTACATATACGCCTAAACAAATCTATTTACTAGAGCAATTTCCGTCTCCATTTCAAAGATTAAAAGATTAATGTTTCGCATACTTTCTGAATGTAACAGTCTCTATGGTTGGAAAGTTAGGTCATTAATGAAATGGGGGATGTTCAGCCGGCTTTTTTTATTTCTACTAAAATACATCACCAACTGGAAGAAATGACGCCGTTAGTTACTGGCGTAAAATCTTACATGTATACATCACCGACTGGAAGAAATACGCCGTTAGTTATTGACGTGAAATCTTACATATATTCATCACCGACTGGAAGAAATTACGCTGTTAGTTACTGGCGTAAAATCTTACATGTATACATCACCGACTGGAAGAAATACGCCGTTAGTTACTGGCGTAAAATCTTACATATAAATACTATCGACCGGAAGAAATTACGCCGTTAGTTATTGGCGTAAAATTCAGTTAGCTGAATTAGAAGCAGGGCCTGTCCGTAATAAATTCATACTGTTAGTTTATACGCCAGTTGGAAAGATTTTACCTACCTAACTAACGGCGAGGTCTCGGGTCCTAGCCTTATTATAAAGCGCGCAGGAGGCAACTCGAGCACGAAAGAAGTGTAGGAGGGAAACACGGGACCTGATGAAGTGTTTTCCCTAATCTTTTCGGATGATGGTTGATAGCAATTGGCAGATAGCATGGCAGCTCCATGGTTTTTACTCAAATAAAACACGCTCCTTCAACCAATGACAGCGGTAACTAACGGCGTAATTTTTTCCAGTCGGTGACGTATATATAAGATTTTACGCCACTAACTAACGGTGTCATTTCTTGCAGTTGTTGATGTATATATGTAAGACTTTACGCCAGTAACTAACTGCGTAATTTCTTCCAGTCGGTAGCGTTCATTTAGTAATTCCATTCAGTCTCTCTTTACGTGCTGTAAGATTTTACGCCTTAGCAAGGATAAGGCACGGATGTTAAAAGATCGAAAAGAAAACACAGTTACTTGCCAGGAAAGTCCTCCATAGCTGCCCACGAAGTTTTTAACAGTTTCAAGACCCCCTGCGTTGAAACTATTCTGTACCCAGAGTTCTCACGGTCAAAAAAGCAGGCAACTAACGGCATTCAATTTAGATATTCGAATGGAGTTATGTTATGGGCTAAATTGAAAACCATGGCGGATCAGAGCAAACCACGTCCGACCGCCATGACAGTCTCACACCACAGCGAGCGCGCATCTCTATAATCACGGACCATTTCTGTGCAAGGGTAACCACTCAAAGAAATGAATGGCGCACCCCGCCCCCAGGGTCATTCTAAAATTTACATATACGCTTATTGTAGTGGTTTCACATCCTGTTCTTGTTTTGTTTGGCATACTTTCTGAATGTAACAGTCGCTATAGTTGGAAAGTGAGGTCGTTAATGAAATGGGGGATATTCAGCTGGCTTTTTTTATTTCTACTAAATGGCTTACGATAAATTATTTCCATTCATTTTCCCAACACTCAAATAAAGTAGAATCACATATACATTCTACAGAAATTTCTTGTTTGATGCCAATTTTGTCTTTTAACAGTTGCTTTTAGCCTCGTCGTTGTAATCCGAACAATTGTCGAAAGAATTTTCAAAACGTTATGCCTGACTTGAATAAATCTACAGTGTTATCGCTTGCTATCAGTTTATGTTAGTCGCCTAGAATTTTGATACTACTACAAAGTGGATTTCAAAATCCTCAAATGATTAGGGGAACAAACAAACAAGCATCAGGCGAACCAAAATAAAGTGTTGAAACAGTATTATTTAGATGCTGCGAGAGATTCGACATAATTAACAAATCTATTTACTAGAGCAATATTTTCGTCTCTATTTCAAAGATTAAAAGATTGATGTAGCTCTTTGATCGACTTGGAATCACTAGGGGATTTTTTGTTAAAACAATGTGTGATAAGCACGGAAGAGGAAATTTCCACACGCTCGCAGAAGTTTAAGAGGAAATAATCTAGAGCAATTTCATGAATATTTACAATAATGTCCGGGTTTAAAGCGCGCTGTCATTGGTTGAAGGAGCGTTTTTATTTGAGTAAAAAACATGGAGCTGCTATGCTATCTGCCAATTGCTATTGGCCATCTTCCGAAAAGATTAGGGAAAACACTTGAAAAAGTCTCATGTTTCCCCCCTACACTTCTTTCGTGCTCTAGTTGCCTCCTGCGCGCTTTATAATAAGGCTGAGACCCGAGACCTCGAAAGAAAGACCTCGAAAAGTAAAAGCTTGAAAACTTATCGCTAAACTGTCACTGACTTTTCTTGACGCATAAAGCCAACTAATCCCAAATAGGAGAGCTGACCACATTACCTTTGTAAGTTTTCCAGGTCACAACAGGGTAATTAGGGATATATCAAGTGTTTTGATAACGTAAGCTAGCCACCTTAAAGAGTTTTAAATCTGACGTTTCGAGCGTTAGCCCCTTTTGTCAGCAGGAATCTTCGTCAGTTAGCCATTCGTCATTCGCTCCGACGCAGGGCTAACGCTCGAAACGTCAGCTTTAAAACTATTTACAGTGGCCAGTTTACGTTATTAATTAGGTTGATAACACTAAATTACCCTTTAATACTATCCCACCGACGCAGCACCACGGATTCTTTAGAAACTATGATGCTACGTCCCAGTCTGATATTGGATTGTTCCAGAGCTTTACGTTTAAGGACTTTCAATCACTTTGAGTGAATGTCTTGCGATTAATTTCATATTTCAAATTTTGAATTCCTTTCACGTTTTCTAGGTTACCTCTAACATAACTTGATATCTGTATGAATTTGTAAGATGCTTAAATCCTTCTAACAATAGCCTAGTTAATAAATTATACATAAGCCTCTTCAAAGTAAGGGCTGTGTTTCACTCTAATAATAAAAGGAAAAATTCAAGTGGTTAATAATTTAACGGCAAATACAGTCTCTATCGTGTTGTAGAACGCTTTTAAATCGCAGTAGTCGATGAATTCCAAGTTGTAGACTCGTTTAGCAGTTATGACGGAGGCAACTCGTTCCAGGTTACCACTCTGATGGACTCCAACTTTACGTCTGCGGCCGGAGTACTTAAGAGCATTGGACACGAGTCTTCCCGGCTGTACCATGCGAAGATCTGCCATGACAGAAATTACCACGTGATCAACTTATGCTGATAGATTTAATCAATGAAGGAGATTGCACATCTTTACTGTGTGTTATTTCTAACAATCTCGTCAAATAAATAATCGATTAAGAAAGATGTTTTTTTTTCCGTCTTGTCACGAGCGTGGGACAAAGAAAAAATTATGAGTCCCCAGTTCCCATGAGGAATCCATGTATCTGCATTGAAAATTTGATACCTTTGTGTCTTAGCTTACAAAATCCTACTATTTTAATTACCATTATAATCAATAGGCTCTGATAGGGCCTGAGTAACCCCTCAAGCTGTATTCGACTTGTAACTGCAGCCTATTATCATAGTCACCTTTGAGGTCGATAACTTTTTTTATTTTCTCCTTCTCGTTTGCTTCTCCTTCATCTGCGGTTGATCTCAACCCGAGTTTATTGGCATCTTCATGGAAGAGTAACTCACCAAAATGAGGCTTTTTGTTACCTTAAATGGAAAGAAAAATTCAAAATCACAAGCAAAATAAAAAAAAGAAAAACTGCCTAGACTTGATAGCATAAATCACCAGATAATAAGAGCATAAAAAATTCACTGGCTCCTTGTCTGTTTTACCTCTCTAGAGACTTGTGTTTCACATAATCGTTAAACACAAATTCCTCTCAATCTTTTCGGACACAAAACGGTTTAGGCTACTGTATTCATGAATCGCGTCTATAAACTTAGCTATGCAAAGAGACTACATAACAAAAGTTTTGGAAACTGTACCTCGTTTTGAATGAAGGAACACATTAACTCCATTGCAAAGTTTCTCCACAGCACGTCTCTGGCTAAACGTTCTCGCAGGTCTGGGAAATTCTGGAAACAACATGCGGTAATTGAGAGCGAGGGCTGTCGCTAGGATACTTCCTGTCACATGGGCATGAGGTAACTCGCTTAAGGAATAGTGATCACCAGGACAAGTTAGCACTGTGGTACCTCCGTCCACCAATTGGCCCCACACTTCTTCAGCGCCCTCGTTTGAGCGAAGCCTGGGAGTGAGGCGGGTGTCTAGGCTCTCAAGGAAAGTGAGAGGACCTCTGTAACGAATCTAAGAATGAAAAAAAAAAGGGAGTAAGTAGGATTTCCCTTCTTTGACTGTCGTCTCCCACACTCACGAGAGCGCTGTTTATCTCCTACGTTACGTGATATTCTATAGGTCGATTGTCTTTGAGGCCAGGGCGTAGCTGATTCCAAGTGCACCAAGCGGTCTAAGGGGGCTGGTGTAACTTACCACAAATAATCCAGAATAACACTCACATACTGCACACTCACTCTGGCTTACTCTTTGAGTAAACCCACCGCCCTCAGGGATACACTGCAAGTGCTAATTCAGGTTTCAGTGGTGTAAAGCGTTCCATTCCCGGGCCCAGTTGTACGAAGGCCGATTAGCGCTAACCCAGGCGTAAATTTTAATCCGGGTTTCTTTATTCCTTTGTTCAAAAGCCTTCTAGAGGCAATTTTCCCTTTTCTCGTTAGAACATCCAGTGATCAAATTGCAAGCAAAAAGATTTGAACTGCATTTCTTTTAAAGCTTTCAGACCTAAAACCAAATTTTAGACTAATCCTGGGTTATTTAAACTCATCTGTGAACAACCCAGGCCTGGATAAGATGCTTGCTGCGTACATTTCTTTAGGTTTGATCAGTGAGCAGTTTGCCGGCACATAAAATACTATTGGGTTGAAGGTAAATGAGAACAATTCATCTCATTTGGAATGAAGGCTTTAAGCTCAGTTGATTTACCTCGGCTCGTGTCACTATAAGGTGTCATTAAAATGGTCCTTACCTCAGGAGGTCCCCATTCATTGTGTGTTTTACTAGCAAAAATTTGGTCCTTTTGAAGAGACTCAAGAAGAGTCCTTAGATTGTAAGAAACTAGTCCCCTCTCCAAGCTCCTTTTTTGTAGTTCATCTATGATCCAGTCTTGATTGTGACCTCTCGTCAGCTGTTGGTATTCATCCGAAGTCATCTTTAGAGTATCAAGAGCCAGTTTTTTTAGGAAGTTTTCAAACTGAATCTGCAAGTTTAAAATTTATTTGTGTTTTCATTTGAACATCTGCACAAGTCCCGTTTCCCAGTTTATAAAGAACTGTTCGAATAATTTTTATAACTGAATAGATAAATAGATAAACAACTAATTAGAGATCGTAATGTACGGAGACCAAAGGGCTCTCTATTTTAGTTGGTTTGTATTTCTTTGAATAGCATCTTGCAAGATAGATTGCCACGTTGTTGGATCACCGCAACGAGATGTGCCTCTCGGTTAGATTGTTGATAATTTAATTTGCACAAAGACATCAAGTGCTTCGTCTCAGTTAACTGTTTGCGATGCAATATCTTCTGATTTCAAAGAAATTGCTTTATCTTTAGTGTAAAGAAATTCATTTTCAAGGGTGACAGGAAGAGGTTCTTAAATGATTTACCTGCGTAAAAAGCATTTTCTCCTCACTTGAAAATATCGGAACATTTCATAAAACGACACAGTGGCTTTTTCCATTTGCTTGGATCAAATTAACAGAAATTAAAGATTTCCCTAAATGTTCCTACTGTATTCATTGTTGATGTTCTTTTTTCCTAGATTGTTTTTTGGGTTCCTAAACTCACCTTAATATGCCGAAGTTGTTGCGAGGTTCTTTCATCTTGCGTGGAGGCCAGTCTAGGGCTGACTACCCGCGTTAGTGGAGACCAGGGAAATGTATCAATCATAGCCACAAACTCCACCCTTTGATTCTGTTCTGTCAACAGAGAGGCCATTTCGTAAGCAAGAAGCCCCCCGTAGGAATATCCACCAAGAAAGTATGGTCCATGTCGCTGTTCCCTCATGATCAGCTGTACATATTGTCTGGCAAGCTCACGCACTCCACCCCAGTCCTTGCTGACGACTGTGGGGTCAGTAAAGCCCAGGGCATAAAAAGAAACCAAGTCCTGAAAAGAGAAATAAACATCACTGAACTGATACACAATTTTTGATACAAAATTGCGGCAAAAAGAAGAACAAAAGAAAGGTAGAATTGGCTAATTAGAAATTGGCCATTAATGCTCCGAGGACTTATTCCCTTAACTGCGTTTATGAAGTTAACGGAGAAAACTTAAGCCAGGCGTAGTGGCAATTCATGGTTATACTGATATCCACAGACGGTGAGTGGGTGGTATTAGTAATATTCTGCTGGGTATTTACCTGTCCTTGGAACCCGCTAGAGATTGGAACCAAACTTAAGGCATAACGATGCGACGGGTGGACGCAGAAAAACTTGACAGCTGCGCCAGTGGGAGTGTACAGCGGTACAACTTGTATTTGATTTCTTGAAACGTCACCAGAAATAGAAGAGTTTGCATATGTTTGCAGAGACTCACTTTGCCGGCTCTCGCTGTGCTCTGGTTGTTTGCTTGCAGGCTCTTGTTTTGTTGTTTGTCCACCAAGCTTTACAATAATGTCTTTGGCCATCTTAAGTGAAGTGGTATCGGGCTGCATAAAGTAGAAAACCTGAAACAAGAACCTCTTTTAGCATTTTTGTTTGTTCCTTCAGTCAAATATGATGAAGAGTTACTAGAAAATGATCTCCGTTACAAATTGCAGTATTAAGCTGGCTTTTTGTTGTTGTTGTTGTTGTTGAAAATTCGCAACTAGTACTTCTTGTTTAGGTCTATTTTGGGAGACCACTTTCTCGTTATTGCATAGATTTTCGTCGGTCATTCTTCTGATAAAAATGAATCAAAATAATTGTTTTAATTTAATTAAATTGGTGTCTGTCAATAAACTATTTTCTTGTCTTTGTTTGCCGTAAAATGGCGGCATGCATTGTTCTCAAAGCATGCCCTGATAATCAACATCATAAAATTTGAATTTAATAGATAATGTCAGTGGTTTATTAGGGTCTCTTAATGGCTTCTTAGTTCTCTACCTTTTTTCCCGTTACAGCCTTTACACGGTAATCAAAAATTACATCTATGGATCTTACTATTTAAGATTCATGGGCTACCTACCTCAAAAGACACCTGCAGATTTGATTCAAGCTGCATTTTCAAGGTCAGGGCGGCAGTAGAGTCTACCCCGTAGCTGTACAAGCTTTTGTTTAAGTCGGTTTCAGAAGGTGAGGAAATTCCGGTCCATTCTGTGACTAAGGTGGCAACGTACTCATTCACAAGTTCAGCCCTCTTTTCTGCATCTTTCTCGAGAATAATCCGTTGTGCTAGAGACTCTGTTGAACCGTTCTGGCTCTCAGAGCCACTGATTTCAGCAGTTATTTCCAAGAGACGACGGCTCTTCCTTAGTCCTGTATTACTTTTTATGAATCGAGGCCAGTCTGCGTCAAACAGGGAGATCTGGCAGCGACCTGGATCTTCCATTAGTACTTTTGCCATGTGTTTAACACCTGCCAAATGGCAAAGAATTGATCTCGGCCCATTGTACTCATGGATCAATACAGCTAATGTCATATTGTGGCTTGGGGCGAGCCAATGCAAATACAATTCTCAATAAGCTCAAATGTGAGGGCACTTGAGTACCTCCGCACGAAATTAATATTTTATGGTCAATACCATTTAGTCATACTTGGTACGTGACTCTCTAGGTGTACGTGGGATTTTTTGACTCCTACAATTGGCCATACTAAATGTAAAACGGACAAGGATTTTAGGAAAATATAGCTACGGCAACTGATCGGGATAAACTTAGACATGCCGTTACATTAAAGATGCAGCAGTTGGTGTTAACAATTTACACTGAAGTTGCTTAAAGGTCTTTGAAGACTATTTTTAAGAATATGATAATTCTTATAGTTCTTTCTATAGTTTCTTGTAATACTTAAGTGAAATTTCAATTTACCTTCTTTGGCATTTATAAAGCCCAATCCCGCCATTGTCAGTAATTTAGCGACACCTGCTTCTCGCTCCATTACTCCTGCACCACTGATTGGTCCCCAGTTAATAGCCAGTCCTGGAAGACCCAGCACATGTCTCCGGTACTGAGCCAGTGAATCTTGGAAGGCATTGCAGGCAGAGTACGACGATTGGCCCATATTGCCAACAATTGAAGCCATGGATGAAAACATCACGAAAAAATCTAGATCCATCGACAAGCTCATTTGGTGAAGCAGAAACGAACCTATAATTCGATGTAAGAAATGTGAGTCGATAGTTTGATTGATAGGTGAATAATAATGTTGATAATAAAGGTATGATGATAATTGTAATACAATGTTTTAATCGTAGCTTACCTTTGATCTTAGGGCCCATAACCTCATGAAAGCTCTCAAACGTCAGATCTTTGATGAATTCGTCTCTAAGGACCATAGCAGTGTGAACGATTCCGGCCACAGCTGGAAGAGAGTTTATCTGTTCTTGTAGTGAAGTCATTTGGTCAAAGTTTGATATGTCAGCCTGTGAATTGAAATAAAGGAGTTTAAGAATTGTGCTACACTCTCCGCTCCTGTTCAAAAGAATAAAAAAGAAACTAACTTTCATCTTACAACCAGTAAATATTAAATCTGTCAGTTTTTCTTTTAAAGACAACCATTGCATTGAACAATTGCTTTTGTGGTATCTTTCCACAAAGATATATATGATATAAAATGTAGCCTTCATTGCGTACCCCCTCTTTCAAAAATACTCCCACTCAATATCGAAACAAGTTTTTATCTGAGAAATTTAAAACTCAGGGCAAATTCATTTGCATACAAACTTCGACTATTGCAGGAACTTGGCTGATAACTTACCCGAAAGGTGTGGATTTTCGCGCCAGTCTTCCTCTCAAGCTGTCGTATTTCAAGTAATTTGGCATTAGAAGGCTTAGAGCGACCAATAAGTCCTATTGATTTCGCTCCATTCTCTGCCATCCAAGAAGCTACTTCGAATCCAAATCCTCTCATCCCTCCTGCTATCAAGTACGTTCTATTTCCTTTTAAACCACACCCATCTAATCCTCGCGAAAGTATGGGGATGCCCTGCAGACTGTTCTCGTCAAATAAACCAAATGAATAAATAACTATTGGCATTGCTGCAACTGACTTTATTTGTGGTCGACAATTCTGTTGGGGAATTGATGCATTTGAAACTTTGATGGAAGCGCTCAAGTCCAAAGAAGTAATTTCCATCTCCTGAAGTTTTTCAATGGTTCCTTTGCTATTCAGTATCTTCATACTTTCTGAGCTGAGTCTCTCGTATACTGAAGGAGTCAGAAAAACATCTGCGATGTCGTCTCTCTCATATTTGACGTTAACGTTTCCATGAAAAACTATGTCTCCATGAAAACTACTACTAAGAATAGTAACTTTTCCTCCGCTTTTAATAGACTGAATGCTTTTTTGAAGAGCATTTGGAGGAGGTGGGTAGAGGAAAACCACTTCGTCAAACGGTTCAGTAGAATCATCATTAAGACTCTGAGAGCTCTGGGCCATCACAAAATCCACCCCCAGCTCCAGAAGAATGGTCCTTGTAGACACTTCGCAAGTGTCGGAAACGGTGCAGAATACTTTAAAACCCAATGCTTTTGCAAGAACAACAGCTGCGAGCCCCATGATACGGTCGGCTTCTTGAATCAGAACTTTCTGATTTTCTTTACCCGGTCCTACTGCCTGGAGGGCTTTTAAGGCTATGGCTAGGCAAGGAGGAAGGAATGTAGCTTGTTCTGTCGTCATCATGATTGGTTTTGGAAATACGTTGCTGGCTTGGATGCAAATAGATCGGGAAACTCGTCCAGACGGAATGACTCCACACACTTCATCCCCAACTTTGAAACTGTGCTTGTTCTCCTCTGGTAGATGTGTTACTTTCCCAACCACGAATACGCAATCTTTTGGTTTGGTTATGTCACTCAGGTTTTCAGATGGTATCCAGCAATGCAGCACCTCCAAAGTGAGTTCGGACTGCGAAGGCTTTGAGACACTCTGGTCACGAAGGCAGATTTTTCCAGACAAAGGCATAGTTGATATGCAAAACGAATTCCTCTGTTCACTTTTGCTGTCATTTACAGTTTTCTTGTCATACACGTTTGCTCTGATAAGGCGATTTATAAACCGTTTGCCATCTCTGAAAGCCACCTCGTCTTCTTTGCTGTCGCACACAATTTCACTTACCAACAAATCCACATCAGACATGTTCTTCTTGGAGCAAAGGTCAACAGCTGTGACCCTTACATTAAATTCCTCGAGGTTGGCGGTCCTTCGAAGACCCCAAACTGTGGAACCCCAGGGAATTGACGTTGCCTCAGAAGACTTGTTACAGGAATCCAAAGTCTGAGTAGACTCAGTAACGAAGAATAAGCGTGGATCCGAACCCCCTTTTTCAAGAAGGAGCTGAAGTAAGAAAACACAGCTACTGAAGGCGAGTTGTTCAGCTTGATTAATGACTTCGAAGCTATCTGGCAGAAAAGTCGTTTCAATAGGCCACATATTGACGACCTTTAGGCTGGACGAATTGCTAGGTACAATGTTCGAGAACGCAGCCTGTATTGATTCTCGTGTTTCGTTGTTGTAGAATCTGTCACTTGGTGGGTCAATTGTGATAACATTGGCGTTTTCTTTCTCAAGTTTTGTTACTAAGGAATCTGAAAAGTTGGAGGAGTCCTTTAGGACGATGCAAATCATGTTTTGGGCATTTTCTTGCTGCCTTTCTAGGTTTTCTTCCTTCCACTGTACTTCATAGGCAAGATCGGCAAATGCAAGTTGACGTGGTGAACTTGTTAACTCTGCTATGCGAAACTCAAACATGGAAAGCAAAACTTTTCCAGACGGACTCAGAAGCCTGACATCAAATCTCCCGAACTCATTTACATCCGCGGTAACGTGACAATACATTTGGCTGGTAGTGGGGACTCGGTTCAGTGTGATGCTCTTGAAGCCCACCGGCACAATTGACTTGTCTTCCACTGAAGAACTTCCAAGGGGAACAAAGCAGGACTGAAGACACGCATCTAAAATTGAAGGGTGGATCACAAAGCTTCCTCTGTCTGATTGAATATCCGGTGATTCACTAATGTCTAGCAAACAAAGTCCTTCGTTGTTGCCATGCCAGATCTGTTTGATGAGAGAAAAGTTGGGCCCATACTTAAATCCAAAATTCTCTGTTACCTGTTTGAAGCGAACCATCGGCATTTTCTCCTTGTGATCCATCAGAGTTCTTACTGCTGGGGAAATTCCATCGGGAGCTGTTTGCCGGAGAAGAACAACAGAAAGCCTTTATTAAAACTTTATGTCCATGAATTACTATGTGTTTGGGATCAGTTTATACCAATTTAGTATAGGAAATAATAGATCGCTTGACACTTCCATGAACGCTTCTTTTAAAATTCTATATCTGATCCTTGGACAAAAATAAATGAGACAAATGCGTAACTTGACCATGGCCCCCTAAAATCAAATCTATCCCATAACATTACTAACGGTACAACTTATAATCTGGATTTATCATTATTTGTTTCGTAGATTTGATCCTTTGATCAATCAGGGTTTTCTCTCAATAAGAATAATGAAAAAAAAAAAGACTTCCCCCAACCTTAATAAATCCCCCTACTTTAAAATAGAGAAGAGAGAATAAAAATACCTTCACAACCGCACGTCTCTTGTCTGTGTATAAGATCGATTGATGTATTTCCACTACTTAGTTTAATTTCAGACTGATCATCTTGAACACTTGTGATGTGGAACGTGGCTTCGTTAACTCTGTCGCTCTTCATAAGACGCAACCTCAGCAAGCGAACCTACCACATAAAATTCATATTGAAGTGATACTAAACTTGTAGTGAGCACACATAGCAATTTATGAGGAGAAACATTTCTTTGATTGATAATTTTGTATCGAATGGAGACCTCTTGCTTATAGCTGTTCACTAGAAGAAAAACTATATATTTTTTTTCAAATGGGTTGACGATTAACTATGAAAGCTATCACAATTTACGACGTTGTCATAAGAATCTCAGTTTTGACTAATTGTAATCCCTAGGCTTCTGTGTCCTTTCCATTAAGCAGGATTATATTTCGTCTTCTCGTCTCACTCAAGCCGCGTGTAATAATACGTACGTCGAAGTATAATTGGTTATTCAATCCTGCACTGATTATGTTCAAATACCTGTGTATCTGGCAAGGTGAGGAGACTAGAGAGCTTCACATCACGTAGTTCTAAACCAGTAACATCTACAAACTTGTCTTTCAGCATGGCAAAGGCCATCTCTAGGTAAGCAGCTCCAGGCATCACGGTACCTCCCTGAATCAGGGCATGGTCCTTAAGAATTGGAAAACGATGAAGGTCGATCTCAGTTTCCCAGCAATATAGGCCTGAATAGGGGTCGGTCATTTTCACCTGTCCTAGGTAAGGATGTGCCGGCCTTTTTGAGGTCCTTTCACAACTTATAGGAGAGATAATCTCTTGGGGTGAACGCTCCCTATACCAAAAGCTCTTCTCCTGCCATGGGTAGCTAATCGGCCGAACAAACTTAGATGATAGAGTTCCTTGAACGCATTTCCAGTCTATAGGGAATCCTAGTGTGTACAACGTACATACAGTTGTTTGCATAAAACTCTTATGTTGATCTGAGACAGGTACTCTTTTCCGAGGAAGTGTTGCCACGACAATTGGCATTTCTTCGTCTTTAAGATTTTCCTGAAGAGCAATCTGTTTGACGTAGTGGGCAAGAATAGGCTGTGTACTGATCTCAATTATCTGCCTGTAATCATCTCTCAAAAGGTTCTTAGTTGCTGGATAAAACTGGACGGGGCAGCGTATATTTTTCCACCAATAATCTCTATCGAACTTTTTACCGGAAAGAAGATCACCTTTTACAGTTGAGTACATCGGAATCTTAGATAGTTGAGGCTTTAGCTTGATACTTTTCATGGCTGCCTGGAAAGGTTTCTTTATAACTTCCATATGTGAGCTATGAAATGCTCGTTTTGTCCCAAGAACACGCCAAAATGTACCTGGAGAATGGGTTTTCAAGTGCTCACCAAGGGCTTCAATTGATTGAGAATCACCAGATACAGTAACGCTTTTCGCATCATTGACTGCGGCGATGTTAAGTGTAGTGCTCAACCTTAGTTCTGTCAGTAACGAACTGGCGTTCTCCTCAGACATTCCTAGAGCAGCCATACCACCATTATCAGGACAGCTTTCTTGTAAGGTGGAACGAATAATTACCAGTTCTACCGCTTCTTTGACTGTTATTGTCCCGGAAATGCAGGCTGCTGCAAACTCTCCCAGACTGTGGCCAACGACAGCAGAAGGAAATATTCTCCAAGACATCAGTAAACGCGCTGTCGCATACTGCACAGCAAATGTTGCTGGCTGGGCGATGCAGCTTTCTGAGATTCTTGATTTTCCTTCTGGAGCTAGAAGCTCGTCTATGAGTGACCAAGTTACCCCTAAGGCTTTAACTTCCTTGCTTACGGTCAGAATAGCCTCTCTGAAGACTCTCTCTGTTTCCATTAATTGTCTTCCCATTGCATACCATTGAGAACCCTGTCCACCGAACATGAAAACTATTTTGGAATCACTGGAGTCTACCTCACCATATACTACCGACTTATTCCATCCTGGGGAGTCTTCAGCATAGTCCGCTAAGTACTTGGAGGCTTCACCAGTCGAACTAAAGACAACTGCAAGGCGGTGGGGATATTGACTACGACGTTCATTTAAAGAGTAGCACATGTCTGCGACCAAATTTTCATCTCGGCCATCAATATGATCTCTGAGCCATTCAGAATAGTAGTGCACCATTTTCTGAAGAGCTTCCTTCGACCGCGCGGAGAAAGTGAGAACGCGGTTTAAACGTTTGATACTTTCTTCTTGCAGGCTCTTGTGTGGGGTGACTTCTCGAAGGATAACGTGTACGTTTGATCCACCGTAACCAAATGAGTTTACCGCCCCTGTTCGTGGTTTTCCATTTTGTGTGCTCCAGGGCTCACTGGTTTGTTGAACAACAAGGCCCTTGTCTTCTAATTTAAGCTTGGGATTCAGTACATGCACATTAACAGTTGGAACTAGCCTCTTGTTCTTTATCATTAGAGCGACTTTTATCAGCCCAGCAAGACCAGAGGTTGATTCAGTATGATTTAGGTTTGATTTTACCGAGCCTACTCGTAGCTTTCGTTTTAGGTTTCCATTTCTTTTAGTGTAAGTATCAGCTATGGAGGTGACCTCAACTACATCTCCAATTGCAGTGCCAGTACCATGAGCTTCGAAGTAATCCACATCCTCTGGAGCCAGTCCTGACTGTTCTAATACCATTCTGGATAACTGCGCTTGCATCTTTGCACTCGGAGCAGTCATCGGCACAGCATTTTGCCCGTCATTGTTCATACCACAAGCAATGATTTCGCAATATTGATCATCTTTATCGCTAGAAGCTGCACTCGAAAGTTTCAAAATAACTGCTGCAAAACCTTCCCCCCGTCCATAACCATCACCAGAAGCATCAAAACTTTTGCAACGCCCGTCAGGCGCTAAGAGGCCGGCGATACTCGATACCATCTGCATAGCATGGTTGAGAACAATATTCGGTGCACAAACGACAGCTATATCACAGTCTCCACTATAGAGGTTATCGCAGGCTAGTTTAAGTGCAGTTAATGATGAGGAGCACGCAGTGTCAACAGCAATACTTGGTCCTGTTAGGTTTAGGCAGAAGGATACTCTATTGGCAATAATGGATGCTGTCAAACCCGTCGACGAAAACTGGTCAATATTACTATAGTTTGATGGATCTGTTATAAGAGCCCCATATTCAAGATTCATCACACCAACGAAAACTCCAGTTTTACACCGCTGAAGGTCTTCCAGGAGCAATCCAGCATCTTCAATGGCCTCGTACACAACTTGAAGAAGTATTCTTTGCTGAGGGTCCATTCCACGAGCCTCTTGATTTGAAATACCAAAGAATTTGTTATCAAAGTTTTGTATTTCCTTCAGGTAGGAACCACTCACGGCACAAAGGCGTCCACTTACAAAGCGTTTGGGGTGATAGAGTCTAGAGAATGCTTCCGCTTCCGCTCTGTTTTGAGGGAATACATCGATCGAACTCTTTCCCTGCTCTAACAAAGTCCAAAATCGATCCTTATCGCTTGCCCCAGGAAATCTGCAACCGATACCAACGATGGAAATGCCGGGGCGTTTAGAGTTTTGTTGTTTTGCATGATCATCTAGTGAATGCAAGGATATGCCGCCTAATTTGTCACTTTGTTCAGGTAGGACATTATAGTTATTCTGATAAATCACGTTGTCCAGGAAATGGAGAAATAGAACTATGATTGGTGGTGAAATAACGAAGGCGTGCATCAGTCCTAAAAGCAAGACCATCGGGACGACTCGATGAAAAATCTCCGATAAAAAGGGATAAATAAACCCTAATGACATAGAACCAGACAACGCAATGAGGCCCGCAACTAACACAGAATACCAAACAGAGTTTAGTGCTTCAATCATGCGATCTCGCACAGTTTGTTCTGCTGAGAATACAAATGCATGGGCTACTTGAAAATTGAAGTTTAATGAAAGAACAACTGTGACCATGAGCACGATGAATGAAATTTGGTTCAGAAAAATCTTCCAAAGAGCCATGATGGCTGCAGTTTCTAGCACGAGAGCGCAGAATGTTATGGCCAGGTAGGCGCCGATTCTGAAGCTTGCACTTGAAAGCATAGAGATGATGAATGTTAAGGCGATAGAAATGCCGAGCACAAGGACTGTGTCTTTCTCTAGCCAAAAAATATCATCCAGTTCCAAAAAGGAATTTGAAAATACAATGGGATTTAGGGAGTGCACTGTCGCCAAATCTTTTCTCAGTTTCTCGAGGACTGTTCTATCTTCACGATATCGGTCATGCAACCCAATTCGTAGATGAAAACGAGATGCCAAAATGCGAGGGCTGAGCATTTGATTTTTTAAAACCAAATCGTGACGAAAATACATGTTATGGGACTCATTAAGGAAGGCTTCCAAACAGTTGTGGAAATCGAAATCCGAGCAGTTTCTATCTTTAGTCTTCGCATAATGGCGTAAGGCTGTCATCCAGCATCGAGGTCTTCCTTCACTGTATGCAGCCTCTCCTAGCATTTTGCAAGTACTAATAACTTCGTTTTGTACGCTATTCTTGGAATAGTCCACTGTATCTGGAAAAACGATGGTTGTGTCAGTTTCTTTGCCAAAAAACTTTCTTTGTTCTTCTCTAAATTTCTCAAAATTGTCATTTTGGTGAAGTGAATCTGTACTTTTCGTTCTTTCGAGAGGCTGTAAGGCAGTTACCACACACACTATTATAATTCCGACCAGTACGACAAGCGATAGAGCTTTACCAGCAACTGAAGTCAATTTTTTTGCCAGAACTTTCGAAAGCCTTTGTGCTGATCTCTTTCGCAATTCTCCAAGATTGGGTAACGCTGACTTCGTATTACGACACCACAGACGGGACGTTTTTAGCTCTTTCATCCTCCTCTCAAAGCACATTAATAAAGTTATTGTTCCTATGAATGAAGCAGCTGAGAGAACTATAAACGCTATAACAGTCATCGAGAAGAAATTGGAAATAACGTCAAAGGAAGACTTGACAGACACTCCTAGAATAATAGCTCCACATAATGCCCAGGATGCAGAGAGAAAACCTGTCCTTGTCACACAGCTACTGACACGATGTTCAAGTGATGGTAGGCGATGTCGTTCCCACTCCCCTAAGATGAGAACTACGTCTGAAGTTGCTTTGCCAAAAAGTAGAAAGGGAATAAATAATGAAGAGGGGAATAGTGTGGTGCATGTCATAGAAATGACGCCTGCTGCGCAAATTAACGGCAAGAAAACTGACGAAATCACCAGGATTATTGTTGCCAGGCAGCTCAGAGTGACAGAAGAAAGGTATGTGACAATGAAGACAAGAGTTAACACTATCAAAGCCGACACGAGCAATGGTAGGAGTTCTGGTTTGAGCATGTTTTTCAAGGCTTCTTCTCTCGTATTAGCGGTTTTGAAGGTAGTCGATACACATTTCAGGCTACTTTCTAAGGACGAGAGGACACTACCAAACCTTGTTTCAAAAATTGAGACTTCCTGGTCCTCAGCAACGTTGGTTGTCTTCCTAATAAAGTAAATGATTCTTAGAGCCTCTGCCATAGCAGTAAATGGAGCTGTCTTGGATTGAAACTTTAGATTACTGAAAATTTGACTGGACGAAGAATTAAATGTTTGTCCGGTGGATAGGACTATGGTAGGGTCTTTCAGCTCGCGGTACAGAATTGACGAAACGTGGCTTAGATTTTCGAAGCGACCACCAGTTAGTTCGAAAGGACCACTGATAACACATTCTTGTTTAGTGATGCTTATCCCTTTTTTAGAAGGGATTCGCTTAAAACACAATTCTTTGTAGCCACTTATGTTCAGTACAGCTTGGTGCACACGTAAGGCATCGTCTAAGCAACCTTCACTTAAAATATTCTGACCGCGTCTAGGAATCATGATGACCTGCTCTTGGCGCGCATCCAGAAGAGGAAAGAGTCTTGCTGAACTATGTAGGTCTTGCCTGGATTGGCTGTTTTTGGCTATGAAATGCTCCAAAGAGTCGTGCCCGGTACGGAGTCGAATAAATCCCAGGCAACTTCCGAAAATTACTATGAGCCACAATAGGAAGATTACAGATGATCTTCGCGAAAGAAAAAGTCCGAACCTTTCTAACGCTTTCTCGTAGGAAGCGAGGATTCGATAGGAAATGATTTTTCTTCCTCTTATTAATGCTCCACAGCCCAGGCCTTGCTTGCCAAATTTCACATTACTGTTAACAAAATATAAAAATAAGCATGGTGATTCTATGATTTTCTGTTAACAGCAAAAACCCAAACCGGTTTACGTAATAGTGACAGGAAGGTGGCGGCTGTACGCAGCCTACAGTGACGTTCCATTAGCTACTAACGATGAAATAGGTGATCTCCTAACTTTTCAAATTGAAGGGGTAATTACGAACAATGATGATGTAACTCACTAAGTCACTTTCGCCGTTTTAAATCATACTTTGGCTTTGGAAGAGCTACGTGGCCATTTGCACGCCTTTCGCAATGTTTTTAATCTTCGATTCACAAATCTTTATTCCATTTTGTTTGACTCCTACCTATTTGGTAGTTGTTTGCTCTTAAATACCATCCAAAGACAAATTAAAAAATGTTAGATAAACCATTGAGATCATTTTGTAAGTTTTCTGAGAAGAAGTTCGATCTCTTTTTCGGAGCTGCTCTGAGTCACTCTGTTGCTAATTGTTTGATTCAGTGACAAACAGTTCATGACTGACGGTGCTTCAATGCTGAAAAATATCACGCCATGAATATAAACAACACATGGCTATCAAGATAATAGGGAAAAAGTTTAATTGTATGTTGGAATTACAGCAGTTTCGTGTCTGGTTTGCAACCAGTCTTTTCTGATGAAAAAAAGAAAGTGAAAATGATTAACAAATCAGCTTTCATTTCCTTTACTTTTATGTGAACAAAAATTGGTATTTTTCTTAAAAGATTTAGGACCATTTTGTCATAAATAATCGTTCCAATCTGTATAATTATGGGCTCGCCTTAATAAGGTTAACTGTTGACCTGGTCCTATTGTTTAGCTCAGCGAGAGTATTGCGACTAACGTTAAGCTGATGTTTCAAATGACAACGTCTTTTGTTATTTCTTTCTACAATATGGACATTCTTAATATCATTTAAACTAGATTCCTTCAATTTTACATTGCTATTTGATTGACTTAGACTAGATTCCTCAGCAACCTTTATGCGTCACTAGTAAAACCTTTTTGTTCGCCGGCTTAGTAGTCAGTTGTTGTTGATCCTTTAATTATTGAACTTTGAAAAGCTTGTTTTGATTTGCTGGGATTTAAATGACTTTCTTGGGCACGTCATATTGTTTTGTTGGGTTAAACATCGAGCTCGGTAAAAAAAAAAAAAGCATTTCAGACAGTACAAGCAAAATTAAGCGCTTCAGGCTCGAATATAGAACGCCTGCGAATCAACACGAAGAAAAGGATATGAGAAATAGTTTATTAAATACAGCTATTCACCGCTTGCAAGCTGGTTTTTCAACGCATGAACTGACATGAATAAAAAGCATTACATAAGCACAATAAGTAACTTAAAGCTGTCAAAAGAGTGCAAACACAGTCAAAGCTATCGCAGGGAATGACTTAAAAAACGCCGAGTCAAACTTTGTTAAAAGTAGTGCTTTATAAGTAAAAGATCAACGACCTAGATTCTTCCGTAAGACTCACCAAAATTATCTACCTATCAGGAAGTCTTCATATCTAGTTTTGTCAGTCAAAAAAAAAAAACAAAAAACCCTGACATAAGATAACATATTGTGTGAAGGAAACGTAAAACTTTGTTTTAACGTCTCTGAGGACAGAGGGTGACATAATACGACTGTCTTTGTGAAGGTCCCGTGTTGTTTATTTTATTGACATTGCGTTTTCTAGTTAAATTCAGTCCAGATCCGGCAATCTCGCATCAGTAATATCACAAATATAGGCGAACGTTCCCTTACAACAATTCTCTTCTCTAAAATGGCTTTAGGAATTGTCACCTTATTCTCGAAAGGGACACCAACTATTTGAATGCGTTCATATAGAAACGGAGCAACGCGTTATCATTATGATAATTTTTTAAAGAGCTTTGCAAAGTTTGTCGACTGTTTTCGTAATGATTTTGCGGTAGCTTTTGTTGCGCAAATTCAGAAACTTGATAAAGAAACTCGAGTGTCTCTCGATCACCCCTCTACATTTAAAGATGGCTCTGTTTTGAAAAAGTAAGAGTCATATCTGTACTTACCCATATCTAGAAGCGTTTTCGCCGTTCTCTTGCTCAGAAATAGCATCCATGTCTAAGGTATAAGATCCAATACGATGATCGTTTTCCCTTTTAGCTCATCAGCCTGCCAGATGATAGGAATGTCAGAGCATCACGCAATTGGCTTACATATATAATGTGCGAAGTCGCTCAACGATTCTATAACAACAACGAAAATCATTATGGCGTATCAGTAATAAAACCACTAAGTAAATGGTCGTTTTCTGTTACGTCATTCAGTTAAAGGACAAGTGCTTACGTTTCTACCCTCACGTGAAGACTCTAAGTTGCATTCGAAGTTTTCTCGACAAACTTCTATTAATTAATAACTTTTGTAATGATTACAATGAAAATCTTTCTGGGAATACGAGACAAATGGCATCTGACATTGGAGTAACCTTACCAGGAATGCCACATGTTCACGTACGAAATACCGAGGAAGAAAGTGCACTATTCCAAACTGGTTTTGAAAGGATCGGTAGAAATTCCAGTCACGTTTCAAGAAAAGCTAATTTCAAATATCCTTTGAATTTACAGAACCTCCTTCAGTTCTTCGTGGGATGGAAGATTCCTTGCGTCAGAGCGGAATCGGCGCATAGACAACACAAATAGCACTCGAAGACCAAATTAGATTCTCTGGCCCTCTGATATCATTAAGATTCATTGATGTTAGGAATCTTCCAAAGACCGATGCTAACAGATGGAAAATTCACTGTTTTGCTAAAATGCGTCCAAAAAAACTGCCTGAAAAAATTTTTTCCTCAAAGAAAAGCGACATATATGCATGACTGCTTTTTCCCTATAAGATAGACATCAATACCTCTATTAATATTGCATAAAGAGATTAATTCCTGATCGTTGTATTGTTTGGTTGAAAAAAACCGCAAAGAATTGACACTGGTTGGGTCGAACAGGAACAGTAAAAAGATGCGGAAAGTTATACAACTCATTCAACAAATGCGAACAATTTCAGTTTCGGAGGCGTTATTGAGAACAATGCCGCTTCCTCTGAAACTTATAGGAACTTGTTTTCAAATATTTTTAATAATTGCAGATATGTGATCTCTGACGGTAACAGTCAGACTATTTCAGGGGAAATATTATAATTTGTCATAAATTGAGTTTCTATAACAACTTTCGTTCTATTTGAAAACATACCGTTAGAACTGACCATTCTAGAAAATTGGACGGAAGACCGTCATCACCTGAGGAGAAGACTATTTTTGGAGATTGGACGTATATGCCAACCCTGACTGCGTGCGTAAACTTTCTTAGTATGGTCTACAGCATTGAGATAAACGAAGATTTTGATATTGGAATTCTCTCCGTAGTTTTTAAGTACGCGAGTGAAGTAGACTGTTAATAGTGAATGTAGGTCACGTTCTTTCGAGTCTTTACCCTCAGCGAGTTCAAACAACGAAACATTTTTACTTTGGTACATTAAATTAATGGATTTAGATGAATAAATTTAGTAAAGGCAGACACTGATCGGAACTTCAAAAAATTACAACTATAATTTCAAGATTAAAGAACCCTGAGTATAGTCACGTTAACCTTCAGCACATTTGATGATTTGTGTTCATGCGCAGAACGTGTAAACTGGTGCAAATCCTTTCTTTACCATACTAATTCTCAGCTGATTAAGTTTCTTTTCTATCACACTACCATCAGCGGCAGACTGTAACTTTATTTCAGGATTAATTTCAGCGTAAGGGTAATTTTACAGGCCAGAGATTGTAATTATCGCAATCTATCAGTTTACAGTCAAAACTGAATCGCTCCTCTGCTATCAAGGTGAATGATGTTTTCAACCCTTTCACTCCAACGATCTAATTAGTAATTCTCCTTTCTGTCTGCCACACAACTTTTGTAGTGTTAGTTCGGAGAATGTATGATCGGATCAACTTATAATTCCCCTAATTGATATTTTTCTTCATTTTTATAAGTTCTCTCCTCGATATTATATTGAAATTGTAAGGGAAAATTTGTCTTGATCATTCATAGGAGTTAAGGAGTTAATCTTCTGCATCAATGCTCGTTTCTTTTAAACGGTTTTGCGGATTCTAATGAAAAGTGTCTATGACACGAAACTTTTTTACGTATTTATTTAGCTTATTTTGTGTAAAAACCAATTCGGGTGGAAGAAAAATTTCAAAAAATTAAAAATCGATTTTCTCGAGCCCTGAAGTGCACTTATGGTTTCGTAAAAGTGTTCCGTAGACCGGCCACGAGTTAGTGAGTGATGATATATAAAGGAATCCGTAAAAATTCTAATTCTCTCGTACTAAGCTAAGTGCAGCGGAGGTTCCCCTTGGTCAGTTCTCTAAAGTTTCGTTGCTGTAGAGTAATTCCCTTAGCAGACCAAAAGCTAGCTTTTGACAGCAGCATCGACAGAATCAGCTGATCACGAGGCACGCTGATTTTTTTTGCCGAGAAGTCATCGGGCAATTTTACTTGAAGTCGCCTTTTTCCTCAAATATTGCAAAGGCAGAGGCTATCGTTCTGATATCGTCGTCGAACCGGTCAAGCGGAAAACGATTGAGTTTTTTGTCAGCCGATTTATCTCAAATAAGAATTTTAATAGAGAAAAACTTCTTTAGCTAAAGTAACCTAAAGCTTAAGAGTAACTTAAGCTTAAAGCTTAATGTAACCTAAGTTAAGTACAACACGCGTGCTAAATGGGGACACTTTCTGGCTGCCAAATTATACTTTTAATGCGCAAAAAGCGGTCAAGGAGAACTCGTTAGGCGCTAAACTCAATTATTTCAAATTTTAAATACAGCCATCAACCAGAAAACGCAAAAGAAAATATTCGTGTGAAATGCCAAAGTTACCGTTAGCAAAAACGATTTGGCGAGTTTCGATAGTATTCCCCATTTTTGGGGCAGATTTGATGATGAGATTCCTTCGATCAATGAAACCACTTATATCGGACGTAACTTTCGAATACTTTGCTATTCCGTGCTAAAGACATTCGCCAGACCATGTAAACAAAGCATTATGGCCGCTTCTGCTCAAACGAAGCGAATTATCACGAGGTAATTGTTTTATAGTGACAGGCTTGGCAACCCTCTACCTTTTGTCTGTCATGGAGTCTAAGGAATGTTTGAATTTGCTGAAGGAAGTTTGAAAAAAGAAACAAAAGAAAAACAAGGTTGGAAATGGAATCCTGTCAAACATCGGTCCTACCTTTGAACTGGTTTATCCTTCGTCTTAGACGCAGTCACAACTTTGCAAAAAGATATCTTTGAACATAATCAACTTTTCTGTTCCGTTGTGACAATTTACTCGGTACTCTGAGACATAGATTTGGGTCAACTTCTTTATAAGTTTATATTCCTAAGTTTGAGTCCGCCACTTCCTGTTTTCATAGAAAAGAAGAAAAATCTACCATAAATTCAACAAACGTAGGTCAGATTACTGTAGTTGAAGACCTAAACAAATACTCCTATCAATCATGCTTTGCTGATAACATTTGCGTCTTGTAGACCCAATTCGATAGAGGCAACAACTGAGCAAAATTAAACGCACCTATAATTAGGCCACCCACTTATTATTTGCCGGAGGAATCCCAGTTATTTCAGAATTTCTGAGCTGGCCTTCATACTTGATTCAGAACAAAGAAATTGTTTTACTGAATTGCTTGCGTCAAATACTTTTCGGTTTCCTTTGAGCGTCATACGACATTGAAATTCAACTTCCTTTATTCCAAGTGTCTACAAAAAGGAATAATTTCTTTATTGGAATTGTCTTGAAAAGTTACGTCATGGTAACGCCTAGGCTAAATCTTTCAGGCCTGTCTTCTTCCTCCCTTCTTAGCCACTCTCATTCCTTATTTTCTAAGCGTCAGAAGCTTCATTATCAGGTTTCTCTATTTTTAAGGTCATCAAAGCTGAAATATCTGCATAAAATTTTTGATTACAAAAGGAATCATTATCTGTCAGAGGCAGACTGTTTTTTTGGTGAGGGAGGTTCAAAAAGGTCACCAGCACTCGATTTACCGCTTTACAGCCTCGAAAGCGGTTAAAATGCAAGCGTTAGGGGGTCGATAATATTGAGTATTGTCGAGGTAAACGTTTTTAAAATTATTGATGGCCTATCCTGAACAAATTGTTTCACTTTTGTACAGCATTGTAAAATCCATACATTTCAAACGTCCATCTCTCTTCTCTTAACTGGCTGGCACTGCTTTAAAGTCACAAATAAACCGTTTTCATGGTGGGATATAAAGATGATTGGTGGTCTATATACACTTATAGGAAAAAAGTGTACTTTGATAATTTGTGACGAGATATACTAGGTACTCTGAGATTTGGATTTGAGTCAAGGTTCTTTATAAGTTTCTATTCTTACCTTTGAGTCCACTACCTCCTGTTTTCATAGAAAAGAAGGAATTCAACAAACGTAGGCCAGAGTACCGTTACCGAAGACCTAAACAAATTTTCCTGAAATTGAAGTCAGTTATGCTTTCCTGATAACATTTGCGTCTTGTAGAACCATTTTAAACAAATAAATTTCATTTCTGATGCAGCCAGGTGCATATTCGGTCCGCGCGAATTTTAATTTAAAGCACAACGCTGTGTTTTTGCCTTTATTTTAACATGACCCACCTTTTAGTCTATCTTTGTTTGTCGTTTTACAAAGTGCCGGCGTACAAATAATATCACCCAAGGAATCTTTTAGAACAAAAAGAATGAACATGGGCAACGAGGGATGGAAAATAAATTCAGAACTACAAATACCCCTAGGCTACGTCTAATTTTATTCATAATAAAGTTCGGATATAACACGTACTGTCTTTGGTTGAAAG